TATTCGAAAATACAAATTTCTCCGCACATGTGACTAGCACTACTTTTTTGCCGTCCGTACGTACAGGAGAAAGACAAAATTAGGAGCCGTTTATGAGAAAAAAGGATTTAAATAATTAAAATTGTCTATATTTCATGTAAAATTACTACTCGTGTCTTCGAAAAATTGTAAATGACCTTATTTCAAGATATGTATCTTCAAAGAACAGAAGAATTCTTTCAGGAAAAACTATCTTCAGTATTGTAGTCGTAGGTTACGCCAAAAAACGAACATTTGCAATATTCGAAAAATGAATGATTTGACCGAAAATGAGACCTGCACCATTCTCTTACGCGTTCTTTCCGACGACAAAGTTTCATCCAAACATTTGGAGCCTGCAGCGGCGTAGCGTCGCATTCCTTCGCTATTCAGTGGGTTATATGGTTTCTAATCTTTGCAGCACGTGTTTCTCATATTCTCTATTCAAAAATACATTGTCCTTTCTTTGGATACTTCAGACAACTGTTTCGATTTCAGGACCTGCTTTTGTCACACTGGTTTCGCGTAAAGGCGGCTCCACACATTCGGCATTCGCCGAGCAGCTCCAACAGCTGATGTGTCCTTAAGACCGACACGCGGTGGGCACGTTGGGACAACGTATTTGACGGAGTTGGCGTTTTTTACATTTTGGTATCAATGATACAGAATTTGCTTGTTCTTTGATTTAATAAGAAAATTTCCAAAGAAAACTAAAAATTGTGGTGTTAAAATAGAAAATGAAAAACGTCCTGTGACCTTTACAATTTAATGATGATAGAATAAACACTAAGAGCCACATGGGAGGATTTAGTAAAGTGCTTTCAGAAAAAATATTGTATGTACACTGTGTGATTAAAAGTATCCGGACATTGCTGAAAATCACTTACCAGTTTGTGGCGTCCTCCATTGGTAATGCTAGAATTCAATAGGGTGCTGGCCCCCCCTTAGCCTTGATGACAGCTTCCACTCTCACAGGGATACTCAGGTGCTGGAAAGTTTATTGGGGAATGGCAGCCCATTCTTCATGGAGGGTTGTACTGAGGAGAGGTATTGATGTAGGTCGGTGAGGCCTGGCATGAATGTCGGCGTTCGAAAACATCCCAAATGTTTTCGATGGTATTAAAGTCAGGACTTTGTGCAGGACAGTCCATTCCAGGGACGTTTTTGTCATGTAACCACTCCGTACCTGGCCGTGCAGTATGAACAATGTTCGATCGTGCTGAAAGATGCAATTACCATCCCTGAATTGCAGGAAGCAGTTCAGTGGGAAGCAAGAGGGTATTTAAAACATCAATGTAGGCCTGTGCCGTGATAGTGCCAAACAAAACAACAAGGGGTGCAGGCCCCCTCAATGAAAAACACTACCACACCATAACACCATTATGGATGTGTCCGTATACTTTTAATCACATACTGTATGTACTTTGGCATCAGAGCTCTTTACGAGCTAAGGCCAACCAGCAGCATCCCAGCCTTGTGGACATGGGTTAAGGTGTACGTGTTGGCACTTACCCATCCCTACACTGTATTCTGATCTTTTCAACCTGAGAAGTGAGCTTTCTAATCATCACCCAGCAACAGATATTGAGATATTGCATGGAAGCCACACAATTAATTTTTGCCCTGACCGGGCATTGAACATGGGGTTGCGCCCTGGCAATCGAGCACACAACAATCAACAAGCCATCGAGGGCTATTTCCGAAAAATATTACAATAAATAAATACTATTAATATATAAAAAATACTAATATATATATATATATATAATTTTTCCCTTAAGAACATCTTTCGGCTTAAAGACGATCTTTAGGAAGTTCATGGTGAATTTCGAAAATGGAGTAATGTATGAGTAATATTATTTTGGGCGAATTAAACACATTTCGTTTTCTCGAAAATACGCTCCAATTTGTTTCGTTTCTTTAATTTTCTCTTAGGCGTGGGCACGTAATAAGGTACAGTAAAAAATAAGGGTTGGTAGACATTCGCGCGAATTCCCCCTTTTTAAAAAATTGAAAAAAGGAACATGTTCGAAAATACATAATCAAAATAGCAATTTTTGCTATTAAAACAGTCTGTTGCAAAAAAGCTATTCAGCACTTCGGAAACAAAGGTCGCGAGTTCGATCATGGCGCAGGAATTTTAATTTGTTACTTATCTCTGAATGAAATGTGTCATCGTTATCATGTCGCACTATATCAAATAGAGCACAATACATAAATGATGATTGCATTCTTTGTTTATAATTTTGCTAGAGTTTTGTAAGTGGCAAGTGATAATTGACGCATTGATTGAATGTTCGCAGATCATGGGACTGCCACTGAGCCGTTGCCTTGGAAGCATAATCACTTACGTAAGCCTCCGGGTGATTGCTCTGTCTCCGCCGCAGCAACGAAATTTCCACAGGCACAATGGTTTCGTGAAGCCAAGCAACATTTACTCTAGTCGAAAGTTATTATAGAGGGTTGTAATTTGTTCTATTGAATTTTCATCAAGATTTTTCACTTCAATCATTCTATTCTAAATGCCATTTAAATTTGTAACATTGTTTGCAGTCATAGCAAATTTGTATATATGTTATTTTTCATGATTTGTGTTTCACTAGTTGTATTTTCTTATTTGTATTATTTTGCAATAGAGTTCAATCATTTGAGTGTTTTCAAGTATTTAATTAATGTCTGCATTCCTCATTACACATTTTTATTTTTGTTCTCGGAGATCAAAGTCAACTGCCCGGAAAAGCAAACGAAATATGAGAAGAACCCTTTGATTAAAATTTAATATTTAAGTCATTAAACAACTAATTATATTTATTAATTAATTCCTTAATCCAACAGATGGACGTGATCAAGTTTCAATAACTTCTTAAGCAATCTAGTAATAAAATCCCATGTAATATATTGTCGATTATAACCTTGTATGTGAAAAAAAGCCGAACTTTTACTGGAGGAAGAAACACAAATTTTGATGTTAAATAATGCACAGTTCCGCTACATTTAGGCATTATACACTTATATATATGAT